TCACAAAACACAGGCTGAAATCAACGATACATTTGTTCCATCATCTTGCCAACTGTGTGTTGTCCTTGAAGCTGGAATTGTCTCTCCCTGAGAATATCTAATACATTTTTAATACTGACTGTATTCAGCTCTTTCTACAGTTCCTTCCTTGACAACGTTTCTCTTCCTAGTACTGGGGGGGGGGCATCTTCGTATTTGGACCGGCTGGTGCTCATCTATCTTAATGATGTCTCCCTATGTTTCTTGGTTCAGATTAGGTTCATCACATATTTGGCTTCAGTTCTCAGTATGCAGATATCCAGTAGTTCTAATGAGATGAGAGACGGTGACCTAGCTGAGCTCGTCTCTGTGGATACTGAAAAAATGAAATACTTAGACGGGCAGTGTGGAGGCTGGTGTGTTGTTGCTGTCACTGTGCTGTCGTTCCCAATGACTCCAGGTCAGACTGTGAGAAAGAAGCAGAGTAGTTGGGTCAGCTATAATGATGTAGACAGAAACAACACCAGACTGTCATGTCGGGAATGACGTTAAAGACTGAACAGGGAAAAACAGTCAAACAATTACAAAAGGAAAAAGGAAATAGATAACTTGCTGTTTTATAGCTGATAGAGACGGCAAAATTAATTCAATAACCAGAACTAAGAGAGATATACAGTGGAATAGAAAGCACATCTAACAAGTCAAATAGCTTTGGTCGATTCAGTTTCGAATGAAGTGGATGTTCATTTTTATGGCAGGGTTATTTTTTTTCAAGTCGAAGCTTGAGTCTTTGCAAATTAAACAGTGATGATGTGTTGATTAAAAGACTGAGTTGTCTCTGTAATTTCCATTTCTCACTGTTGTGATTAAGTTTTCGTAGCAGTCTATTTGTGTGTCCTGCTTTATCTTCTCTCGCCTTGTTGTTTGTTGTCTTTACATTCTCTTCTTCCTTTACGTTTGTCACCTACTTCTCCTTACCTCCTCGCTCTTCTGCAATCCAACCTTGTGTTCCATTTCTCACTTCCTTCTTTTTATTCGTTCGCCTGCATCTTACCGCTTAATCTACCGTGCCTACCTTTTCAATCCTTTTTTCTATCATCGCCGTCATTCTTCACTATTTTTCGCACCCCTATACTTTCCCTAAGAAGTCAATCTTTCCGATGCCGACTCTTCACCACCTCAACATTTCATTGATCGCTCTTCACGTCCTAATCTTACCACCTCGCTCTGTTGTGTTTGTCAACCTCACACCTCACCTGCTTTTTATCTCTCTCTTTCTTGCCCTCTTACACGCACACTATCTTAATCCACCCTCCTCCTTCTCCTCCCTTCCAGTGGCTTCTTCCTCTGAAACTCTGCCGTCTGGCCTCCTTCGCAGCACTGTTATCAGATGATTCAGCAGCTGAGATAATGTCACACAGTGGAGCGGCGAATGTTCACCATGCAACTCAACTGTGGGACAAACAACTGAGAGGGTTAGATCCTGCGAGTTCAGCCACTGGGACATGAAACAGGTGGGATGACGAAACACACTGCACCTTCAAACAGACACACCAATGAAAACATACGATGCATACACATTCTTATATATTTCATGTATGACATTATTGTGTTTCTTTTCTATCACCCATAACAGCTGTTGTAGGCCAGCCACAGAAGCATTGATCCCAAAAACCAGCATGTGCTCCACGAACTTCGCATGGCTGCTGGAAACCTGCTGTACAAGGCCCTGAACCTGATAGAACGGCTAAAACACAATAACCAGCAAGTTATCCTAAATGCTAAGTCCATTAAAGCTTGAACACCGCACTTTACTGTAAGGTTAGCTCTGTACCAACCTCGGGTTTTAATGTGACAAGTAGCTAAAAAACAAACAGTACCACTTGCTACTTTGGTAAAAATAACTTGTATTTGATCTATAGTTGTACAAGTTGTAATACATGTATCTCAACAGAATTTCCCTTTTCGCGTGGCAGTGTTTTAGTTTTACAGTACATACAGTATTAGTTTTACAGAGTATAGT